CTCACAGATCCAAGCCAGATAGATGTTGACACAGAAGCCCTTCATTCAACCCAGAGAGAAGCCCACAGCCTCTCCCTAGATGAACTTACTTGCTACTACTTTCACGGCAATGAAAGGTTCAAGAGGTCACTCTCATATAGTCTGGTTTTGTGAACTATCAGAGAAACTTGGATGGACCTACTCAGAAACTGGGTCCATATTTTTAAGAAAGGTATTCTATTCTTTAATGATCACCAGGTTGGCAGGTGTATACACACAATTGTTTTTAATCATTTGGCATAAGTAGTTATTTTTTCACATTGTAAATCCTCAAATTTTATCCTTCCAGATATAACAAACATAAATCCTGACTTCAAATGAACATAGGCCAAATTCAACACTCCTTCCTGTGCTCATACTTCTAATTCTAGAGTGATGGAGCAAGCTGACCTGCTAAAACGTATTTCTTCAGGAAAGAGCTGTGATTACAGAACATTTCTGGTGCCAACAACAGATGCTCTGCAAACTAATTCAGGAGGGAGTGTACACAGATACAGAGACGCACTGTCTGTTAAACATACTGTGAGAAATTATGTTTATCTCTCTCTCAAGTTGGGCTTTTGGGGGATGGAGACTTAGAAATGATGTCTTTATTTCAGCCTTTAATGGGCTCGTAATTGTCAACTGAAGTCTACAGGTGGTAAAGAAACAAACTCTGACCTGTCTGAGTCTATCTCCAGCTCTCAATTCTCCTTTTCTACTTAATTGGGACTCCTTCAGTAAAGCCATAAGCAATGAGGATAAAAATTCGGTTAGAAGAGAGTAACTTATCATCACATCTATCTCCAATGATGTTCATGAAGAGCTCAAACAATTATGGGGATAAAGGGTGTAGAATTCCTCCTGGAAATTCAGTGAGATGCTGAGCAAATTCTTCATGGAAAATGGGATCCAGCTTCAAAAATTTACTACATTTTGCAAGTTGGCTGTCTTTTGGACCAAAGAGCAAGACAGCTGTTTTAAAACATAGGTTAACATGTTTGCATTTTCATTAAATCTCCAGTAACAAAACAAGTCTACAAAACCAACACATTTGATCTAGCAATGTGGCCTCCAAATTTTATCAAGTTCTTCAGAGATCATCCAACAACAAACACGAAAGATCACTGCTCTATTTGGAGTGGGGTAGAGTGAAACTGCAAATGGAGATCATCCTGTTCCAGATGCCACATTCCATGCTACACATCTGGAAAGACCATCTCCTCTGGAGTATAGGAGTGGGCAAATGGGAAGTGTAGTGAGCTGGGGGGGTGAGGGGGGTCTCCCAGTGCTTTTCTTTTCTACTTCTTTCTCCCTACATGCCTGCCGTATTTTATCTACATTCCTATCACACACTGCCTGTTTATATAAGACAGCAAGTTCAGTCTTTTAATGTTAGGGACCTATGAACTTTCATCAGCTCATTTAAAAATTCCTGGCATAAAGCCAGACATGGTGGTACACACCTGAAATCCTGGCACTCAGGAAGCTGAAGCAGGATGATGGAGAATTCAAGATCAGCTGGGGCTAGCTACCTAGTGAGATCCTGTCTCAAAAAACCCAAGGGCTTGGGATGTAGGTCAGTGGTAGAGCACTTGCCTAGAATGTGCAAGGCCCTGTGTCTGGTCCTTAGCACCTCAATAAATTAATTAATTAATTAACCTGGCATAGTGCAGATTAAAATTGTGTCAATTATCTGCTTTTACTTACTAACTGAAACTTAGCTTTTTCATAAAACATTTCCAGCAAACCTTTTGTGCCTTCGTCAGTCCTTTGACCACTAAGCGTTTCCACATTACTTTAAGAAGTATATGCTTACAACATTTGGCTATTCACTTATCAGTGCTCACGGTATCATTTCCCTCTGCATTTTGTACTCATTAAAAGTAGAGCCTACTGTACTATAAAAGCTGATAGAATAATTCATATGAGTATTGATGATGATGAGAAAGCACCTACCTGTTTAGCATAAAGGAATGTGATTCCTTTCTTAAAATTATGGAGGTCACAGTAAGAATAAAAGGAGGAACAAAATAGGTAAGCTACCTTTCTATAGTTTTAAGTAAAGAATACTAAGGATGCTTTAATTTAAACTGATAACCTACATAATATTAAGACTTAACTGTGCATTTTCAGGATTGGATGTTCTATTTATTTTTAATCTGCACTGGTAATCAGGCAGTAGATATTCTGTACTTGTGTTTATCTGAGGTTGCTAAGAGGATGTGGGGGAAGTAGTACGTGAAGTTCTGTACTGATTAAAAGTATATAACGAGTAACCAAGAATGCAGAAGCTTGTCCCTACTTCATCTTTCCCACCACTGTTTATAAAATTATTATTTATCTAACCAGTTTTAAAATTCAAATTTTAGAAGTTGAGCTCTAAGAAGTTTCTAAAGTTATTAACTGAATTAATAGGACATCTCTTTGATGAACCATTTTAGGGAATTAAAACAATTTCAAAAATCTTTCCAAAATAAAATTCAAGTTTAGGCAAAACCAGTGGTGCTAGTTCACGTGGGGTACTGAATAATCAAAAAGAAAACAAAAGCAGCAAGGTCTATAGACAGATGTTTAATCTTCTGAGGAAGAAAAGTCCTGATCCAGAAGTTGAAGATACATGAACTAGGTAATGGAGCACAACTTCCTGGAGAGTGATCAAAAAGAGTGGGGCCTGAATGCTCAGACCCACACACACCTTCATGGGTGTGTTCTCTCAAGCCAGCGCTCTGCACTGGAGCTGGCAGAGAAATGTGAGCGAAGCACTGCCTCAGGGATTTGTCCTGGGAACAGTGCCACTCCACATTTTTATTAATTATTTAGTGGAAGAAGGTTAACTGTAAGTAGACACGTTCCATGTTGAATTTACATAAGAGAAACAGCTGGGAACTGAAGGATTCTGAAAGAAAGTTTGGTTTGATTTAGGTACATTAAGAATCAGGAGAAGGCAATGAAGTTCAAAGTACAACTCCAAGGTCATACAGATGAAATAAACTAACTCCATTCTTCTCACTTAAGCTTATAGCCATTAAACATATAGGGTTACTCTGACAAGATGAAGAATATCCTCGTATCTAGAGAGATCAATGCTAAATCTGTAAGGCACTGTAAGATACATGAGAAAATCTGCGGTTACAAGAAGTAAAGGAAGAAAAAAAGCAGAGCTGTGATCTAAAATGATCTATTTTCTTTAATTCCCATGCAGCAATTTTTGACCCATCTTCCGAGTATTTTTCACATTGTGATTTGTACTACAGATCTTTGACAGCGAGGACCCTGTCTTGGTATATTCTGCACTTCTACCACAATAATAGATTTCTAGCCACCAGTTGGAGGCAGTTTAGTGCAGCAGTTAAGAACACGAGCTCTACAGGAGCAGACTACACAAGTTCAAATCCTGGCTCTCCTGCTAGCTAACTTTGAGAATGCCCGCAAACTTTTGATCTTTGTGTCTCTATTTCTTCATCTAGGCCCAGTGAAAGGAAGTAGTAGGATTACTGTGAGGATTAAATGAGAAAATACATATAAATGGGCTTAGAACAGTACCTGGTGTTACAGTTAAGTGTTTAAGGGATGAGAGGTAGTAATCATCATGCTAGTACATTAAAGAATGAATCACTTAATAAATGGCTGATAACACATGATAAAAGCGAGAGCACACAAGTAAGGGGTGAGGATAGGTAAGACACCTAAAAAATTAGCTAGCATTTGTTGCCCTTAATGCAGAGAAACTAAAGCAGATACCTTAAAGCAACTGAGGCCAATAGGAAAAGGGGAACAGGTACTAGAGAAAAGGTGAGATCAAAAAGAATTAAGCTAGAAGGTAACACACACGCACAGGAAATTAATATGAGTCAACTCCCTGTATAGCTATCCTTATCTCAACCAGCAAAAACCCTTGTTCCTTCCTATTATTGCTTATACTCTCTCTACAACAAAATTAGAAATAAGGGTAAAATAGTTTCTGCTGGGTATTGAGGGAGTGGGGGGGAGGGAGAGGGGGTGGAGTGGGTGGCAAGGGAGGGGGTGGGAGCAGGGGGAAGAAATGACCCAAGCCTTGTATGCACATATGAATAATAAAAGAAAAAAAATAATAAATGGCTGATAAGTAAATAAAATTTTTCATAAAAATTAAAGGGGTCCTCATGCTGCACTTTTCTTATATCAATGACAGAAACGGACCCAGATTTAAGTATTCCAGTGTAATTTTCAAAAAGTCAGAAAAATAGCAAATACTTCTTTTTATCCATTTTGTCTCAAATATTGCACAGGAGTAAAAATCTGATAGAAGCAGCAGCTGGTAGGGTAAGAACTTGGATTTTTTTTTAAAGGTCTTTGCATTTTCCCAATGGTTTCCTCTTCTTTGAACCCCCATCCCCTCTTTCCTACACATTCATTCACTCTTTTTATTAACATCAGCAATAAGATGAAGTACAAGTGAGAGTTTTGCACGAACTACAAGAGTACACTCCTATATTTTCCACTGACCACTGTGAACCCTGCCCATCTGCCAGCAGAACCTATACTCACTCAGAGGAGCCCAGCTGGATGCTACCTGAGTTCCCATAAATCAAACCATTTAGCACTACTTCAAAGTCTACATATAGCTCCCCTTTCTAACAAACTTGAATGAAGGAAAACAAGCCACTAAAAAGAACCAGCTTTAACAAATTTGCCTTCAATACTTACGATGGTTTTTTAAAGGCAGTGGCAAAATTTCCCTTGGCAGGAGGGGTTTATTTGGATTGGATTAGTACTGGTGGTTTGAACTTGCTAAAGGGCTTCTAAGCAGTAGTGGGTTCTTTGAAGATAGATTTGCATATCTGCAAATGGGCAGGTTCCTCCAGAGACCAGAACATTTTGGGCATGTATTAAGTTGCATTTATGAAAACATTCAATGTCAATAGATCTTTTTTATAGAGATAATGATCAAATTTATGCTGTCAATTCTAACAGTCAGTAATTTGAGAATGCCGTCTTACCCCTCAATACTGATTTAAGGTTGAGCTTGGCTTGGCGGTGCAGATCCTCCACGCAGGGGGGTCTGGTGGAAGGAAGGAATACGTTCTCCTGCTGATGCCATGGAGCCGTGTAGTGGACTGTCCATCGACTCTCCTCATCGAGGTTGGAGACTGCTGCAGAAAGAAAGACAGAACAAATTTAGCTTCATTGGCTCCAAATTTGCTACATCCAGATAAAGTAGAGGACCACAGCTAAGGACCAGCAAGGAGAAATAAGCAAAATCTAATGAAATTTAATCTTATGCTCCAGGGGTACTGCCCACCAAGGTCTGTCTGTAAAGAGAATGGCTGAAAGTGTCCATCCACCAACAATCATGGAGTTGTCTGCTTCCCAGCATTTTGGGTCCTGTCCTCCTGGTCCTCCAGAACAAAGATTGACAATATCAATTATACAGACCTCCAATTCCAACTCAACTCGACCACAGAAAACACCAGTTATTGAACCTTCTAATGTCATTGTATCAGTAAGTATTACATTGTCTTGATGGAAACAAATATCCCACTAACAGGCTGAGAACAAACCTTTCCCTTCCACAGCATTATTTAAAAATATCACTGCTATAAACTCAATTAAAAAGTTTAAAAATGAGCATAAATATTCAATTGAAACATTTAAGTGGCATATCGAATTAGATGTGGAGATCCATTTGTAGTATAAAAATTTCTCTCATTTCTTGCTTTCATGGAATATTTTCATATTAAAATATCCTCTAAAAATTATAATACAATTATAATTTTTCCCAACACGATTCAATTCAATTACAATTTCCCAACACAAAAGAATCCAAAACATTAGAGGGGAAAATAATAGGCAATCCTGAGTCTAAATATCATCTCTAAAAATAATCTTCCTTTAATGCCCTTAGTCACCGGGACCTCTATTTCATTTTTCTTTATACACATCCCTAAGCTGGAATATGAGTGTAGCCTAAAATGAAACTGACAGCACTGAAAGAAATTATCATCAATTTGTCAATACTTTTTATCTATCTGCCAAATAATCTAGACATAGGAGAGACTAAAGAAATGTAAGAGAAAGCCCCTGGACTAAAGCAGAGGTTCAAGCAAGGTGACAAGTCTAAGTCCTGTAAACCCTGCAGATATTACAAATGTGAGTCAGAGGCAAGTCTTCCCTGGCTCTAACCTGTGCTAGACAGTCCCCACTGCAAATCTCTATTCTACAACATAAGGTGTCTCTGGAAACTCGATTGCAAGCCATATCCTCAAAGTAAAGTGAAAAACATGCATAAACTATTGAATCTATTTGAGCATGCTTAAAATGAATGAACTTGCCCTAGCACAATTACTAGGGCGATCATAACGCCAAATGCACTAACAGACGCTTCTAAATGCACTAACACGAGCGCTTCCTCGTGAACTCACTCATGTAAAGTGGGTTTGGGGCAGAGACAGTGAACACCATTCCCAAAGAGCCCCTAACTTTGGAACCATCACTAAAAACTGAGACTTTCCCTGCTCCTATAAACCTGCAAACCACTCCAGAAACCATCTTTCCTATAGTTACTAACTTAAAATCCTGTGAACCTGAAAGGATTTCTTAAAGGATTCCTTCTCCACAAATTGCTAAACAGGAAAATAAGCACTGAGAACTAGGCATCAAATTAAAACAGAAATGCCCTGTCTGCTTTCTGCTTATGTTTGATGAAAGCAGCATATAAATTAGACACTTCAGGTTCCACCCATTCTCCTGTTGAACAAATGTTCTGCGTGGTGCATGTTCCCACCAATCTTCATACATAAAATCCATGACTTCATTCTCATGTATAGTTCTGAGTCCAGCACACTGCCAAATGCTCAGAGGTCCCCCAAAGAATGTCCAGAGGTCATTATAACATTTATGCTAATGTCCACCTAGCTAAAAGATTTCTTCACTGTATTTCACAGCTGGAAGACATGAGAAATCGAAACTTTTCATCTTTAACAATTACAAATCGAATCCAACTAATAGCATCTGAGCCCACATAATCGTGACATCAAGCCCCAATACACAACCACCAACTAGTTCCTCTGAAAAAGCAGTTGTCTCTTCCATGGGACCTTGCTCTTACCAGGACAAATTTTTATCAGTCCTTCCAAAGACAGACAGCCTTGGAGCTAGAGAGAAAATGAACCCAGAGTGCAGGTCTTTGTGGCTTTCTCCAAAGCTTCATTTCCCAGAGCCCCTACCCCTGTACACATTTATCCAGGTTAAGTCCTTGATGCAAAAGCTGAACTGAAACAAACCAATAGCCACGTAAAAACGAAAGCACATCATTGTAAAATTCTATTTTGAAGAGCATGAAGAAGTACCTGGATTAACAAAATTTAAACCCACACTAAGTACACAATCAAACCATGCTCCCAAAGCCCAGTCCTTTACAATAATCACTGACTGGTCTAGACAGTCTGTCCTTGAGTTCTTAAATCCATAACAAAGAGTGCCAGGAAGTTGTAGGGGAACATCACCAGGAGAATGTGACACATTACACAGAGGCTCCCTACCTCAGCTGCCTGTCCAGCCAAAGAATCAGAATCCACAGATCAAGAGCTTTCCTCCTTCCTTCAGAAACTTCTTTTGAGATATACAAAAGAAGTGAAGCCAGTAAGATCCCAACCATAAATAAACAAGACATGCTAAGATCACAATAATACTGCCACAAAAGTCAGAGGTATTTCAACCACCCGGTGCAGAGTGGAGTTTTAATTCTGACCAATTACACTGTGTCATTCTCTAATTTATCACTCACAAGGCTGAAGGAGCACACAAAAAAACGTGCACACACCTCTCACACACAAACAATAAGAGAGAGAAAAGGTAATACTTACTTTTCTTCTTAAAAAGTTTAATGAAGGACTTGATCTTTGCATTAATGAATATCACCATTTCTGGGGCACCTACGTGTGGTTTTGAAACTTAAGTCACATTAAAAGCTCAGTACAGCAGGCAGTGACATGCTGTGCTCTTCCTCTCTAGTCGCTAACTTTCTTCCTCAGGTCTAATAGCTACTGCCATCTGCCTGGGCTGCTGTAACTCTGCCGTTGACTTTATTGTCAGGCGGTTATAAACCATTAACAGTCCTTGAACCTGAAAAACTTCCACTGAAACCTAATCTTTAAGACTGGGAGCAGCCAGTGACAACAGGCCTGGAAAGAGGAAGCCAATCACGGTCCTTATTTGCATGACAGCCACATCAGGCTTTCTGCCTCAGTGCTCATTCTCTCCACAGATCAGAAGTTTCTTCTCTCTGGAATCCACAGAAAAACTGCACATTTTCTCTATGGAAGTCAAGATGGAACAAATGTGTTCCCCATTTTCACTAGGCCACTGTGAACATCCAGCTCTTTTTTTACAGGAGCCAAAAAATCTGAGAGCAACTCCATGTTGATTCTTTGACTCTCCAGTTGATTTGGGGTGGATGGGATGTGAACTGATACAGGAAAAAAAGAACCAAACCATTGTTTTCTGACCACGCCCCCCCCCAGGCTCTGCCTCCCACACCAAAGGAACATTTATAAGCAGCAAAAATTTAGAACGGGATCTCCAAGGAGCTGCGAATGATGACTTGGTTGCATTTTTATGCAAATGAGGGTGCCTGTCTTCTCACCCTTTGCCAGCGGTTCAGAATCAGCACTGCGAATTCCAAAGCACAATCAGATTTGCATCTAGCTGCCGCCACAATTCTTAAAAAAGCAGAGTACAGCTTCCCCACTCCAAATGAGAAATCAGTTAAGATCCTGACACCCTAACCATTTCAATCTTCGCTTTAAATATAATTATCCCCTAAGCACCTGACTTTAACAATTCCACAACAGCTCCTCCAGGAAGTGGTTTCAAATAAACATTACTTGGGTTAGTCTTTAACTTGAATATACTATATTGAGTTCTGGTTCTTTTGCCTATTCGCAATCATGCACAGAAAGCTGGGGAAAGGCAAATGCAGATGGTCAAATCAGAAACAGGGCATATAGGTGGGCAGTGGAAAAATATACTCCCAGAGGCAAAGGTTAGGAATAAAAACGTGAAGAACACAGAGCAGGTCATTTGAAAGGGGACAAAGGAACAGCTTCTCACGTCTCACTCCAGATACGCTTCATGGCAAAGTGCTTTTTGAAACAATTTAGACGACCTCTTATTTCATAGCTTTGGGCCAGGCTTGTAACTCAATGGAAAAATGTAATAATCCACTAATTCAAAACATTTAGTTTATAACAAAGGCTCTTAGTTGAAGAATAAAATTTATATTAGGGGCTCCCTCTAGGGAAAGCTTTGGAATGACGCCTCCTCAAATCTTTTTATCCCGTTTACTTTTTGAATAATAGCAAACAAAGAAAATATACACATTACCAAATACATAATTCCAGTTTTCCAACTTCTGTTCTTTCTTCCTTTACACAGCTTTACTTATAAGTAATTAAATTGCTAGATGGCAAATGAATAACAACTGAGGCTGTAAGCGAGATTATGGCTGCCTTCAATTGTGAGCAAAGTTCCCCTTGGAACAACAAATTTATCAGCAAGAGTGACCTTGCTCTGCTCACTGCATTGGAGACAGGCAGAGTCCAGAACAGAAATACTCCTCTTCACAATGCACAAGTTGTCGAGGTTAAATGTCACCATGCACACTTCCAAATGAAAAGGGAAAGTGTTCTTTCAAGAAAGCAAACCCTGACGATGCTTAATCCTGCAAAGCATACAGCTTTTCAGGTACACAACAATGGCATGCAAACATAAATGCATTCATTAAAAAAGCTAAATATAAAGCACCAACTAAACATGACTCTTCTATCTAGTTGGGCTGTATCACTGGACAGAAGGTGAGATTCCACCCTCAGGGAGCTTACATTGTCTGACAACAAACTATAATTGTATTGTAGACTAGAGGGTGCTTAGTGCAATGGGCAACAGAAAAAGTGGAGCAGAATAAAAGAGGGTTTGGGGGAGGGAGGAGATCGAGTCCTGCTCTATTAAATGCAGGTCGGGGTGGTCTTCACTGAAATGGGAAGATGTGACGAAAGACATGAAGAAGGTGATAGGTTGCATTTTCAAGAGCAAGTTATTTCTCAGGCTGTGAAATGCACTTCCAGTCCCTCGGGCCTCCTTAGAGAAGTGTTCT